TATCTATCTATCTATCTATCTATCTATCTATCTATCTATCTATCTATCTATCTATCTATCTATCTATCTATCTATCTATCTATCTATTCAGCTAGCTAGCTAGCTAGCTAGCTAGCTAGCTAGCTAGCTATTGTCCCTCTTTGCAAGTAGCTAATGGAAAAGTATTTATCCCAGCTCCAGAGTACTAGAAAATTTCTCTTATTATCATATTATTATGTCCAGCACTGTTCATTTCCAAACATTTTAGAATTAATTTCTCCTTTGAACTTAAGACATGAGGTTCGGGGCCTTTACATTATAAAGAAGCAACTATATCATGTTGATAGTAAACAGGCTGGGGAACCTTTTTGAAAGGGGTCACTTTCCAGCCATGAGTGAATCTAAGGGTGCTTTGGAAGGACCAAAGAACAAGAGGATGGGATACAGATAAATCTCAACCAACATGATCCAGTGCAACAGCTGTCACACATTCAAAACCTTGCTGGTCTATCAATCTGAGCTTCCGTTTCATGTAAAACCCAGCCAGTGTGAAAACCTTGGCGTCTATGCCATACAAAGCCATGACAGCCTGAAAATCTGAGATCTTTTGCCATGCAGCACATTGCCAGTACATAAGTTCCTCTTCTATTCAAACCCTTGCAAGTCTGCAAAGGTGAGCTCCTGTTCCATATAAAACAGTGTAAAGTCTTCCAACTCAAGCTCATGATCTATGGGAGGCCTTTTTGAAAGGGGTCACTTTCCAGCCATGAGTGAATCTAAGGGTGCTTTGGAAGGACCAAAGAACAAGAGGATGGGATACAGATAAATCTCAACCAACATGATCCAGTGCAACAGCTGTCACACATTCAAAACCTTGCTGGTCTATCAATCTGAGCTTCCGTTTCATGTAAAACCCAGCCAGTGTGAAAACCTTGGCGTCTATGCCATACAAAGCCATGACAGCCTGAAAATCTGAGATCTTTTGCCATGCAGCACATTGCCAGTACATAAGTTCCTCTTCTATTCAAACCCTTGCAACTCTGCAAAGGTGAGCTCCTGTTCCATGTAAAACAGTGTAAAGTCTTCCACCTCAAGATGCCTGTCTGCAAATCAGAGCTCTTCTTACTGCAACATCTTCCATTTCACATGGTATGTTGCAAGCCATGCATAGTGGGTAAGACACTAACTGAAAGCAGCTGGTGTATTCTCTAACTGTTAGGCTGATTTCAGATGTTACAGAGCACTGGACAGAAGAAATTAATGCTTCCCATGTATTCTATTGGGCTTTCTATACAGTATGTCAGCAATGGGCAAACGCATCCCTGCAGATGCATTTGGATCACAGCCCCCTCAGGACCCTCACTATATAGGCTATGCTGCTTAGGGATGATGCGAGCTGGAATCTAACAGTACGTGGAGGTCTATGCTTGCCCATCCTGGGAATGACTTCTACAACTATTCACAGTGAAATGTATGGGTTCTAGACATAGCTAAAACCTTGACCAAATGGGAGGATCACTAGCTACATACATGCCAAATGGGGATGAGCCTAAAATACATAGACCTACATCCAATTGCTGACCTTAATCTGTTTAATTGTTGAATGTTGAGTCAATACTTACATAAATCCCGCTGATGCAGCAAGTCTACTTTGGTTAGGACTACCATGGCCCTAAGGTTGGCTGTTTGTTCAGTAGATGGCTAGCTACTGAGTTTAGCTTTTTCTCTGTGCTTCTGGAGGACTTGGAACAGTCTTCCTTCTCCTTGACTGCTACTTCTTCCATCCCACTTTTCCTTAGCTGCCTACCTCTCTCTGCTACCCACGTCATTCCTTATTGCTCCCATCCCGTTCCCTTGCCCTCAGCTTTCTTTTCTTTCCATAGCCCTCCAACTCCATCCAGTTTGCCCAACTTTTCTTCACTAAGATATGAGTCTCAACACATGGAAGGATCAGGAGAGACTCATTCCAATGAGTCCAGTTCCACACTTTATCCTGACTGAACATTGCAGGTGGATTTCCCTGTTGTAAATTTGAAGGCTTGTTGGAGGGAGGGTCTCTCAGATGAAAGCCACAGCTCCTCCAGATGCTCACCTACTGCCTACTCCTAATCATTAGTTTTGTACCCTCCGCCACCCATTCTAGCAAAGCACTGTTGGTGAAACAGGCAAACAGGTTCCAAGGTTGCATCTATCTAGGGAAGCTTTAAGTCAGTCTTAATATATTTTGATAAGTTAAATAAATATGTAGCTCCCTGGCGCTGATCACAGCCATATTACAACACTCAACGTCTTGCTAATGTAGTAAAAATCAAAGCAAGCATGGTTGTCGTGTGCTTCTAGCTTTAAGGCTGCAAAATAAGCCTAAGAATATAAATTGCTATATTTTTGTTCCGTTATTCTTGCCTCTGCTCTTCCCTTTGCCCTGAAAGGTGGGCTGA